TTCTTTCTGTATGTATTGGCTTTCAGCCATCGCATTGCGAATGTGTCGTAAGACACTCAATCTGATAGACAGGAAGTCTCCGACTTCGTTACGGAGAGTAGGCTGACATCAGCAATAAGTTCGGCTATTTCTCCCCCACCAAGCCCTCAGTCATGGGACGGCGGCGACAGCGGGACACGAGAGTTAACAAGGCCGTTCACATAGAACGGCGTATGGCCGGTAGAGCAAACTCTACGAGTGGTAACATGGCGCTCCAGCGCTACGGTATCTCAGTGCAGACGCTGCGAAGAGCGTCTTCAACGACGCGATTCACTTGCTCACTCTGACGATTGGTCTGCGGATGGTCCGCTGTTGACACAGTCAACTTGGTGCCCAGCACTCTGAAGATTGTAGACCAAAACTTCCCAGTGGAGCGCGGGTCTTTATCAGAGACAATTGACTTCGGGGGTCTATACTGTCGAAAGATACAATCGACAAACAGCGTCGCTGTACTCACACCGTCGATGATTTAATTATTTAAGTAGCGGTAGAGCCGCCAATATCTAAATTTTGTAATTAATACGGTAAATATCTATTTAATATGCATTACGACTGGCAGTCCTGCCACGTGGTAGCTTCTTGTTACGGTGTAGCCACACCTCTGTGTGATTAACCCAACTTGTGTAATCCACACCTATATACGATCACACCATCTTGTTCGACCCGCCCTTTCATTCAAGAGTACGTGTAACCCTGTTACAGTTCCAACCATGCAATACCAAGGATAAGGTCATACCTTGCATACAAGTCTAGGACTAAGCAGCCTTCGACGTTATCGAAGAAACTTGACACCAAGGTCCACAGGGACCCGTGGCACAGTGACACATGTTTTATCGCTATGCGAAAAGTGACGGGGTCATTCAACTGCGCTTCCTGCGCCTCAGCATACAGCTGGCTTCCTTCGATCGTGGTGCCTCGAGCATAATTGCCTGACGCGCTAGAATCGATAAGGATCTTTCATGGCTTATCAAAGCCCTTCATGGTCGCTTTTACGACCAGAAAACCGGCTGGCATACACTTTTCGTGCTCAAGAGCACGGAGCTCTTCAGGGCTGGGTCTGCATTCTACCTCTTTGAGGCTCAACAGAACTCATTTCTTCCCCAGTCGGGCGCCCCGCGCCTACTGGGTGTTGTCGTTTCCCCGCGACAAAGCAGCCATGCTAGAAGCGGGACGTCGGTTTGGTGAACCTTTACGCGCCTTGCGCAGGCGACAACCAGTCTGAAGGTGACGGGTGTCTCCACAGACAAAACGCCGTCGGGTATTTAAACGCTGCTCGGCAGCTCGGAGCTCTTTCTCCTCCTTCTCAACATACCTGAGATTCATTGGCTCAGGCCCGCTCGACGAGCGCTGAGGATGTGCATTCCAACCAAGTCGTGCCGAATTGAAGTTGAATTCGGCATTCAATGCTACGTTCACCGCATCTTCAAAAAAAGACGGATGCACACGAAAGACTGTCATTCTGGCCACGCCAGTGCGGAGGCCCTCCATAAAAATGGTCATTGTGATCGCCTCGGGGGCAACTACCCTGGCAATGAGAGTTTGCAACTCTTGGACAAAGTCCACCAATCCCTTCTTGCCCCGCCGGGCAGCAAGGAAACGCGATATGTCTGCTTAGGCAGCGAGAACACTCGTAAAAGCTGCAGCTTCAGCTCTTTCTAGGAGGACGACGCCGCTTTATCCAGAGAAACGCATATTATTGTCTATTTTCCGCGTGCGGCCCCCGAGCTTGAAATTGCTAGCGCCACGCGCTGTTGCTCGTTCTTGAGCATGACGGATGCCAAAGCCATCTCGGTATCTCTCACCCAGAGCAGAAGACTCTTTTCATTTTTACCCTCGGAGGTCTTAACGCTCACTATGCGTCCTGGGTCGAGGGGAGTCTATTGTCTTGGACGATGGCGTCATGGCCGCAGTCGATGCCGACAGCTTCTGCTGCAGGTGCTCTAGCAGAGCTTTATCATAATTTGAAAACGCCTCTAGGCCCGCGCTAGCGACGGGGACTTGTATCACGGTGCCGAGGGTCCCTGTGGACCTCGGTGTCAAGTTCTTGGCTTTGATAGTGCGGAACGCTGCACTCGGATGCAAGGTATGACCTTATCCTAGGCATGGCAAGGTTGGAACACCATGCGCCGTGGATTGATTGGAGGTCAAAGACCTTAGGCGCTGCATGCACGTCTCCTACTGGAGTTTTGGTGAGTCATGAATCTACCTCTGCTAGGAAGTTGAAGTGCTATTGGGGCGGGCACTGGACCGGAACGGTCAATGTTCTCGATATCGGAGTATCCGAGTTGTCAAACACCGAGAGGTGTGTTGGTCAAAAGTCCCGAGCGTGGCTCACGGGCTGAACGTGGAGTGACACGTAACCCACTGAGCACAGCTCAAGTATTGGAGCATTTGCTGCATGCCAAGAGTGGCATGGTCGGCCAAGGGCCGAGATATTAAGGGCGAGACTCTTGTAATGCACGTGAAGTGGCACGATAACCACTGAATAATGCTCACATTACGAAGCAGTTGCTGCGTGCCACGAGAGGCATTGTCGAACGAGGTCCAAGGCATCGAGTGCGAGGCCCCAGTGATGCGCGTGAAGTGGCACGTAATCCACTGAACACTGCTTACGTTTGGAAGCAGATGCTGCATGCCGAGAGTGGAATGGTTGGGTACATCTTGGGCAAGGCCCTTCAGATGCGCGACGAGTGGCTCGTTATCCACTGGACAAAGACTGCGGAAATAACAGCTCTTCGTCGTATGTTGTTAAAAACATCAAGGCTCCGATGGAGCAGGGAGTGGGGACACTGGACGACGCCTAGTGCGTTTTCCCACTGAACTCGATGAGACGTAAAACTTCTACAGAGAGGGGACGGCGAAGCCGTACGATATCTGCAAGATGCAGGACATTGACCCTGACCCAGCGTGTCTATACTGTTGACGATAGCGTATAGCTATACACCCTTGTTAGTGATGTGACGGGAGAGAAAGATGGCGACGTCACCTTCGAGGCTATTTCCGCGGTGAATGCTCTTGAGCTTGACGACATGTTCTTCGAAGAGTTTTGCGGTGCTTTAAAGGTGGGTATTTATCCATGGTGGTCATTTTACGACCGAACGAGGAGACTAACTCGTCGTCGCTTCTGGATGAAGTAGTCCTAGAGGACGCTAAGAGGGTACTAAACGCACGAAGTGGATCGTCGATCCCGAAGGATTTCTCGGAACCGTACTATCCTTTGGTATAGGAATTTCAAGTCATCGTCTTGAAAGACCCTCCCGATCTTACCTCTGGGTCGAGGTGTGCGTGATTAGATTGACCTGGTTCCGGGAACCAAATCAATGGCCCCTGCCCAAAGAGCAGTGTGGCGTCATTGACGCCTTTGTCTATGCGAAGCACGAGGCAGTATTGGTGTGTGAGAGAAAGTCTCCTGATTCGACACCCACGTTTTGTGTCAGGAAGCCAGACGGGAAGTGGCGTATCGTTCACTCTTATTAAAGGCTAAACGCTGCTACCGTTCCGGCACAAAAGCTGATAGCTAAAAAGAATGTTCTTTGAAACAAAATGGGTAGGCGGCACAAAGTACAGCGCACTCGACTTGGTCGATGATTGTTACCAATTGCTCATGAGAGCGAGTGATAGTCCGCTGATAGCGGTGTACTGATCTGGTTTTGGTTGGTGATGCCCCAAGGGCGGTCAAATGCACCAGCAACATTTGGTCGTCTTGTAACGCAATTTTTCGGGCCCCATCGGGCGTATGCACAGACATACTTTGACGACATCTTCATCACAGTCGTGCGGGACACGGGAGGACAGATGAGAAAAACTCATCGTCCATTCAAGAGCGGAGCTCGAGTTTATGCGCACGAATAAGATGCATGCCAATCCCGATAAGTGCCCGTATTGCGGAAACAGTAGCACCTCCTTTTGAGCTCGAAGTCGAGCGCGGTACCGATCCATTACAATCGCTTGGGGTACCAAAAAGCGAGCTCGCAAAGTTTTCCGCTGATCAAGCTCAGATTTTGTAATGGCCGAAGGTCCGACCACTTAGATACCTAATGATCGAGTGATCGCGGCTTTCGCTTCAGTAGCGGGATCCGTTAAAATTGTAAATAATCCCAATTCACATTTAACGGTCGCCTCATACGAGTCTGAGACACCTTGACGTTTTTCAAGAACAACTTTGAACCTTCTTCCCCGCTGCAGTGTGATTTACCCTTTCATACTAGGGTACGTGTAACCCCGTTACAAACTGACGATCGCTGTGTTGTCTGAGCTCGTAGACAAACTAATAGGTCTCGCTGATTAGACTTTTGACTTGAGATGTAATCGACCTCGTTGTTGCCCTGTAGTAAAGTGTCGTAGCACTGTTTGTTAGGAACCGGTCATGGTGTGCACAGCTCACGCAAATTAATGGGAGCGCTCCAGAAAACCTCTGCTCTAATGATTCGCTTTATTGAGAGAGGCGATGCCGTGTATTTTTGAGGAAGGCAAGGATTACCGGCAAGTCACAAAGACTTTTTTCATCAGAGAATATCTCGCCTTCTTTACCGAATAAGGTTTTTTTGGCATCAACCACAGTAACCACCTTCTTTTCTTTGCCGCTCGCCAAACCATGCGCTTTTGGCAACAGTTCAGGGAATAAGTAGCCTATATTTGGTGAGGCTTGTGACGAGACAAACGGTTTGTGACCCAACGATTGTTGGGAAGGGTGAAACAGAGTGAGCACCTACTATGATTGCATCCATTTTTTCTTCGGACTTCGCGCAAAATCAATAGTATTGTGGTAGTCAATTGCTATGGTGAAGAAGAGATTGAAATGATGGTATCTCAGACGAAGTGGTCTGTGGAGTACGTGGTATGCTAGCCTCAAGCATAGCGTTAATAAATTATCCCCCATAGCTAAATGTATCAATTGCAGCTATTCATTTTTCTGAATCCATCACTAGACAATCGTAAAGTACTCGAATCAGAGCTGAAGGGGCAGCGTATGGTGTCAACCCTCGTGTGGTTGTTGAAGCTGGCGTTACAAGTTAAAGCTTCGCAAAGGGCAATTCGTGACGATACTAGCACGTTTTTTAAGCACTGTAAAAGTAATTGTCGATTTATCAAACCAAATCATTCTACGTACACAAAAAGAGAGTCATAGAATCATTGACAGTTCATGACGCGGCTATGATCTGAATATTCAGATTGCGTTCTGTTTATAACTATTTGCTTGGTAAGGGTGAAGGATTAAAGTCCTGGCTGCTATAGACTTCTTTGCTGATCTAAGACTATTCTCTCAGCATTAAAAATGACAGCCATCAAGTTAAAATTCGTCGAAATAGCTCCTTCATCGTCGTTCCCCTTGAATGTGTTGTTTAAATCTCGTATTGAAACCTTGTTACAACAACCAATTGTCTCTATGACGTTCTGGTTGGACTGCATTCCATGATTCTAGATATGAATACTTTTGGCGATAGTACCGAGGAACCAGCTGAGTTGTTCTCAAACGAAGGAGCTAATTGAGACGATGAATTGCGCGAAGCATTCGGTTTTGTAATTGTCTAAGCTAAAGACTGGCATTAAAAATGGTCAGAGCCAGTTTAACGGGCAGCATACGCGACAAGTCTACCTTGATGTATGGAAGTGGACCGTACCGATCCATACTACATGTTTAATATTCTCGTGGTGATATTTCTCACGGCGCGATTAATAGTGTCATCGTTACCATGTACAAGTTTGGCGTGGGAAGTAGCTGCTTGTAGGAAACCGAGTTTAGTAGATAGATAGTCTGGTTGTCGGTATCGGATTTGCGTGTTTAGTGTAACCAAGTAAGGACCAGTCGAAAGGGAATTGCTGGGAATCTATTAGGAGTCGCCAAGCATCGCTTAATCATACCGTGCATGTGTACAGACGACACAGCACGTTAGAGAGAACTAGGAGACGTAGAGATGCATATGAAGGATAAGCAACTAAATCGTGTAAACCTTGTCGAGAAATTAACTTGAAAACTTAGTCGATGCTAGACGTTCAAGACAAAGGTATATGTCTGTCCAATCTAAATAAAACAACAGCCGAATGCTAGTAAGAACCCCGTATGAATCCTTCTCCCGTGTCATCTGTAACCTACGTGTAGTCAGTAGAGATAATAGCGATATTGGTGAACAGCATCTCCCAACACGTTCACTAAGTAGCTACGTCTTCATGCTACCACTTGTCGCAGCATCGAAATACAAAGTCTTCTTGACATGGCAATATCTGAGCTCTCCATCATCATGCGATAAATGTGTTCTTCGCTACAGCCAGCCTTCGTCAACATCGTAATACGCTCCAAAGGTTTAAGCCAGCGCACTCTTCGAGCGCGTTGCACACGACGCTTGCGCTTTTCATAACAATCCGAAGTATTCACGCTTTCCTTCTGCTCGTGATCATCGTCATTTGCCG